TTTATTTATTTATTTATTTTTTAAAATAGATTTTATTGATTTTTTTACAGAGAGGAAGGGAGAGGGATAGAGAGCCAGAAACATCGATGAGAGAGAAACATCGATCAGCTGCGTCCTGCACACTCCCCACTGGGGATGCGCCCACAACCAAGGTACATGCCCTTGACCGGAATCGAACCCGGGACCCTTGAGTCCACAGGCCAATGCTCTATCCACTGAGCCAAACTGGTTAGGGCCACATTTTATTTTTATTTAGAAAATATTTTTATTGATTTCAGAGAGAGGAAGGGAGAGGGAGAAAGAGATAGAAACATCAATGATGAGAGAAAATCATTGATTGGCTGCTTCCTGCAGACTCCACACTGGGGACCAAGCCCGCAACCTGGGCCTGTGCCCTGACTGGGAATCCAATGGTGACCTCTGGTTCATAGGTCAACGCTCAACCACTGAGCCACGCCGGCCGGGCTATGTACCACATTTTGGTAACCATCACTTTTACTGGCTCCACAATCCTCCTGTATGTGGATGGGTCCTGGTTTCTTAGCCATTGTCTCCTTTTTGCCCTCACTCAGATAAGCCTCGTAGCAGATATGCTGTCAACAACACTGGAGATCATGCCGAGGACCAGGACGGTGACTCCAGGTAAGGGCTTTGAAGTCACTGTAGGATGGAGCTAGTCCTGCCCCAAAGCCTGTGCAAAGCCCCACCTGCCGTTGACCAATGTTTCCCCTGAGAAACCGGGGGTTCTTTTTTCCCATTTGGTGGGTGTTTGGGTAGCATGGAGCAGGGCTGCATAATTTGGTCACATGTCCAGCTGCCAAGCAGGTTGGAGATGAGATGAGGCCATGTTTCTGTAGGTCATTTATCTCCTGTGAGGGAACATGGAGGAAAGCACACCCCGTGCTGTCCTCAGACCTTGTTCCTCAGGCACGGCCCGAGGTCACATGTAGGTGCTTGGGTGCAGTGCAGAGTGTCCAGATGCTGATATGGGCAGAGAGTTGGGGCTGTCTTTTAGGGCACAGATGAAAGTGTGCAGAGTGTCCAGATGCTGATATGGGCAGAGAGTTGTGGCTGACTTGACCCGTGGTCTTTTAGGGCACAGATGAAAGCGGGTCTTGTTCCTTCTTGTACGTGCCCCCTTGTTCTCTGTGGGAAGGACTGTCATGCAACATGAGAAATGACCGCTTGTGCCTTCTTATGTTCATTTTAAAGCTTGGTAAGTGGTAACACAGACCCAGATGAGGCAGGAAAGATTGCAAGTTGCCTGTCCTGGTTCCCCTAAACGTAGCCGAGGTCTTTGTGAGCTAAAGGATGTCGCCTCCACGGTCCCATGGAAAAGCTGAGGTCCCCACACTGGGCCTTTCACATGCGAACTGGTTGTACAGTTTCCCTCGGTTCTCTGACAAGGCACCACAGTGTTGTACAGTTCCAAGAATATGGCTTTTATTTTTTGTGTGTGAGGATGGCAGGGGCCTCTGGCGTGACCAGTGACTGTCTCTGAAGGGAGCAGGCTTTGGAAAAGGGAACAGCAGGAGGGGCAGGGGAGGTGGGAGGTTGTGGGACATTCAGCGGGTCCTTCTGGTTGACGTAGAGGCCAGTGGTTGTCTTGTCCTTTAAAGGTGGCAACTTGGAACAGACTCCTGTTACAGGCACCCGGAAAGCTTTTGGCCCCTGCACACTGGGTGGGTGGCTTTGTCTTCCGCTGGGCCACAGACTAGTTTAGAGCAGGGCTGGCCAGCTGCCCAATGTTCTTCCTCTAAGCTCCATAGGTGTGAGGCTCTGCTCAGGACATGAAGACTCAGAAAGAGCTCTTGGAATGATCTGTGTAGAGGTATTTTTTAGGAGGGCCAGGAGCACATAATTCCTGCAGTTAATTTTCAGAGGCTTATAAGAAAATCACTATGAGGTAATGCCATTGGGTAATGTTAGCACATTATAGCATCTGATGAACCCACTCCCCATCCCCCATATTTTCAGAGATACAGGTTAATACCCTTAGTGCCCCAGCTTTATTTTGTCACATAGGCCTGCCCAGTCGCTGCTCTGCCCCTGGCGGCTGGGAAACCCTGTTATACCTCAGACGTCTTCCTGAAGCACTGCAGTGAAGGTCATCAGACCATTCTCTGTTCTTCTGGATTATCATCCTCAAAGGTGCTTTTCTTCTGGAACCAGCAAGATGTTCCTGCTTGTTAGTTTGCCAGATTGAAACAATGTGAACAGGCCACATGGGTAACTTGTGAATGTGGTGGTGGCCTGCCTTAGAGAAGTGAAGGTGCAGAGCTGTGCTGCCCAGGGTTGAAGTCACTGGCCAATGTGGCCATTTAAATTGAAATGAACTGAAATGAAATAAAATTGAAAATTTATTTCCTTAGTTTCACTTGCCACATTTTAGATGTTCGGTGGCCGCATGTGACTAGTGGATACTGTATTGAATGGCGTAGATTTAGGATATTTCTGTCCCTGAGGAAAGTTCTGTTGGACAACACTGGCTTAGAGAGTAAGCTGGTTTTATAATGCGAATCATCAAGATGATGTGTTTCAGGGTGTAAGAATTCACTGTCACTTTTTAAAAACTCAACTAGAATTTAGAAGGGAGAGAAGAAAATAGATATTGTCTGTTGTCTCTAAGTCTTGAAATTGAAGTTGAGAAAAGTTATAGTGTCCCTGATTGTAGGGTATTAGGAGCCAGGGAGCTCCTGCTTAAGTCCATCTCTGGCTTAATCACCCCACTGGCAGGGACAACGCCATCAGGAGAGGCCCGAGAGGAAGCATGGCGTCCATCGGGAAGGCTGGTGGCGGCCCACTCCCTCCTGACATGTATGGCTGTTTCTGGCTTCCTCTCATATTTCCAGCATTGTTCTGGTTACTGCCTCAGAGAAGGTGATGCTGGTGCCTTGGAAGAGTTAACTTCATTTTAAAACACTCTGAATCATTTTACTTTAGATATCACCCAGAGCTCTGAAAGGTTTCTGTCTCTGCCCTTTACCTCCCCATTGGCATTGTGAGGCATGGAATCAGGTGGCCCTGCTGCCCTTCTCAGACTTGGCTACCTTTCTTGAAGCAGTGGGTCCAGCTTTTAGGCACAGTCATGCCCTGTGCTGGAGGGGGACCTCAGCTGTAGTGCTCACTGGCATACAGCATGCAAGTCCTCCATACCAGGCACACATGGGCTCCACCAGAGCCTCTTTTGACAGCTTTGCTTGGGTGGCACATGTATTGAGAAAGATGCCCCTACTTGCTGGATTTTAGGTCATACACAGAAATGTGGATAAGTAGTGTTGTCCCCAAGCTTGGGTACCTCCCTTCCCTTTTCCTGGCCCAGCTGAGTCTGCACTGGTGTCCGCATTGGCATGTCCCTGCAGGGCAGCATGCTGGGATAAGTGCAGGTTCTGGGTTCCGGGTCTCATTCTCACTCTGTGTCCTAAAGCATGTGATCTGGGCATGTACCTTAGACAGTGAGCCTCCTCTGTAAGATGTCTGCAGGTGTGAAGGCACCTCTGCCTCTCCCTCCCAGTAGATGTCATGGGAACACCTGCCTCTAGGTGGGAGTCCTTGCTGATGGCTCTGCCTCCCTCAGAGGGGCAGACACAGGTCCATAAAACATGCTTGTGGAGTTTAACATTTTACATGTCCCCCCACCCCCCAGTAAGGAAATGGAACACATGGAACACTGCTGACACTTGGAATCTCCATGTGCTTCTTCCCTTTTGAAAGTTAAGGGATATATATATGTACACACACACACACACACACACACACACACACACACACATATATATTTTTAATCCTCACCTGAGGATGTTTTTCCATTGATCTCTAGAGAGAGAAGGGAAGAGAGGGAGGAGGGGGAGAGAGAAAGAGAGATAGATAGATAGATAGATAGATAGAGAGACATCAACCAGCTGCCTCCCGCATGCACCCCCAACTGGGGCTGGGGATCAAACCTGCAACCGAGGTACATGCCCTTGACTGGGAATTGAACCCGTGACCCTTTGGTCTGCAGGCCGACACTCTCTAACCACTTAGAAACCCAGCCAGGGATTTTGTGACCTGTCTAGGTGTAGGAGATAAAGTTCTAGGAGATTGTACTTGAGCTTCTTCGGATTCTGACTTTCTGAATGATCTTGAGAAAGTCCACACAACATCTTACCCCTTTACTACTATACAAACGAATGAGCTAAAGTTTGGGAGCTGCTGAAAAAAGTGTTCTTCATTGTGTTTCTCTTGCATGGGTCCTTGGTAATGTGTGTTTCTCGGTGAGAGCTGTGGGGAGCAGCAGTCCCAGCAGGGCAGCCTGGTGGGCATGGCATGGCGTCCTGGCAGGCTCTCACCCCTCGGATGCTGTCTGCACTGTGGGGCTCAGGCCTACTTTCTGTTCCCAGCAAACTCGGAAAGCAGCATGATATAGCCCTGTGTAGAGGAACTTCAACTCTTTGAAATATATTTTCTAAAAAAGCTCAGGTCAGATAGTGCAGAGGTCTTCGACATTTTCTAACGTAATTGTATACAGCTCTGCCACGACTGCCTTGCTGATGGGGCCACATGGGCAGAGACTCAGGGAGATCAGCTATGCAGGTGGTCATAGCATCTCAAGAATTGGGGCTGAGGTGGTCAATGCATTTTACATAAGGCTTTTACCTATGGGGGTCTCATTTGATCCTGTTGAGACGGTTTGTCAGATTAAATGCTTGTGCATAGGCATCTGGCCAATGTGTGTGGTGCTAGGCTCTGACCCAGGTCTTCCGGCCTTGCTCTTGTTCTGGAAACTGACCCTCATTCTGACCAGTCTATGTTTATGTGAGAGAATTTGAGCTTTAGTGAGAAAACTGTGTGGTAAGTCTTCAACTTGGGGAGTTGTCTGTATCCTTTCTTGTCTGGTAAGTTTCATAGCCTTGACCTCAACAGTTAATGCTTAATGGTAGTACTTCTGCTTGACTTTAATGCTGTTTTAATAAAAACAACTATAACTTATGATTTTAAAAATCAATGTGTTTTTGTTTGGTCTTGATGGTCCTGTTCCCATTTCAGCGAGCCATGTCCTCCAACCGATGAGCAATTGGTTGCAGGGTAAGACCAAGACTTCTCCACCGTCTTTCTGTCCTGATTTCTGCTACCTTCTCTTCTTGTAATTGTGCTTAACTCCTGATTCCCCTCAATGTTGAAGAATGACTAATGAGGCACACAGGCTCTCGCTCGGATCCCACGGCCCCTGCCCTTTCTCCACTTGGAGTTACCTATTTCACATTACCCAAGAAGCCTACGCAAGGTTGGCTGGCACCAGGGAGACTTGTGGGACCAGGCTTGCACTCAGACCTCCTCCTCCAGGCAGGCACCAGTAGCCCTGTGAGGCCAGTAGGTGAGCAGAAGCAGGGTTTCTTATCTCCCTAGCTTACTGCCCGCCCCCGCCCCCCAAGAGAGATCCTTGATTAGTCTCTGCCTTCATTTCTCAGAGGGGTTTAGTGGGGGCCTCTTTCCCAAGGGCTGGGTGTTAAATGTAATGCTTGAGGTTAGATGCTATTGTGTGTGCCCTTTAGAAGCAAAATGCACCCATGGAGTTTATCTGGCACTTCCTCTGGAGGGTATGAATAAGGTATGACCCTCCTGTCCCCCTGACAGGATATCCCCTCTGGGCATTGAAGCATCTTTGAGCCCCCCATCACAGGAGGGTGCAGAGTCAAGCTCCCGTCCATGCTGTCCCTCCCCCCTTTTTTGACCAGGCCGGAGATCAATCCCTGCTCCTGACTATCTCAGAAGGAGAGGAAGGTCTTGGCCTGGTTTCTAGCTGGGCTGGTTCATCTTCCTAAAATTTTTAAATTTCTAAGTTATTCCCGGAATGTTAGTTTTTGTAACAGCTATTTTATTGTGTGCAAAACTTACTAGGTCTTTTACCATCAAAGCAAGGGAAAGAGATTTTTGTAAATTTTGGAAACAACAAACAAATATTGTCATTTGTTTTTGTTTCAATTTGCTATTTATAACAGTTATTCCCCTACTCCCCAAATCTCATGATATAACTATGCCTTTGTGTATATTATATCAGCAGGCACACTATATAAAGGATAAAGCCACTCAAGTGTTTTTTCTCATCATATGTGTTAATATTGCAGTGGTGAGTGGATTTCTCTGTGGGCTAGACTCGCTCAGACAAGCACCATCCCCCTGGCCGCCCTAGAGGGCCTTCCCTGATGGCCATGTAGGGCAGGATGGCTTTTAACTTCAGCAGCACATGGCTTCCTAGTTGGCTCCTTCTGCAGATGCTGGCCTCTCTGGTCTTGGGAGGAAGCATTTTTTATTTGGCTCTTGGAAGGATGCTTTCGGATTTGGATATTTATAGATATTCAGGAGACCTCTGCTTGCCTCTGAATCTCAGGACCCATCCCACAGCCAAACTAGCTTAGGTTCCTGGACTAGTGGCTGAGGCCAGGGCTGAGGCTCAAGTGTGGGTCTTGATGACAGAGCAGAGGTTTTTAATGGAGGTATTTAGATATCACAGGAAAAAGTGAACTTTCTGGAATAGTGGGAGGTTGTTTTCTATACCTTATCTTTGTCCCTCGGTGGCAGAGTGGAGGAGCTATTTGTTTAGATAGGATGTGAAATGTTGGCACTGGATCAATCATTAGGGCAGAAGTGTTTGTTTATCACCCTGAGCCCTCTCTCACCATCAGACGGAAGTTATAGGGCAGAGTGAGCGATTTAGAGTTTTTAAAGAAAGCATATAATGCCTCTGGTCTAAGACACTGGAATATTCCATCTCTGGTTTAATCACTCCGGAGAGCAGTATTCCCGGGAAGAGAGACCCATAATAGGCAGCTGAGGACTTAGGCAATGGGTCCCACATTTCCCAGACTGGCTCTGACGACCTCTCTCACAACCTTGGTGTCAAAAGGGCCGAGTGCAGTCCTGACAGTACAAGAGCCAAACCCTCTGCATCTTGTTTGTCTGCGGGCCACAGAGCAACCTAGGAGACCTGGAGGACCATGTCAGTCCCTGGGAGGGCTGGAAGCCAGTGTGACACCCTCCCTCCAATGCCTTGGCAGTTCTAGGCTCCCCTCCTATGGGGGAGAGACTTGGAAAGAGTTCTCTAGCTGCTTGTCTTGCAGTTTGAGTGCTGGTTGATCAGCAAGGTTCTTGCTGCAGGCTGGCTCCAAGTACTTAAAAAATTTTTTTTATTGATTTTTAGAGAGAGGGAGAGACAGAGATTGATTTATTGTTCACTTATTTATGCATTCATTGGTTGCTTCTTGTATATATGCCCTGACAGGGGATGGCACCAGCAACCCTGGTATAGCAGGAGGGTGCTCTAACCAACTGACTACCCGGCCAGGGCTCAGGTCACTCTTACATTAGATGGTGAGCCCTGCCATGTGTAAGGAGCCCAGAGCAAATGACCCCCTTCCTAGATCCTTTTACCCCAGAGTAATTTCTTATTTCAGAGTTCAGCTGAAGCAGCAGTTTGTAGCATACCATCTTTTTTCTTCAGAAAATGGAGAGGTATGGTAGCAGTCGCTCCCCTCCCCCACATGAGGTCGTCCAAGAGAAAAGCATCTAGTATGGTGCCTGGTTCACTGTAGCTCCTTAGCACAGGCCCAGGATGCACGCTGGAGTGTCTGCCTTTGATGGCCTCCCGGGCTCCTGGGGTCTGTGCCCAGGGGCAGAGCATGGCCCTGGGGGAGCTGGCGCCACTTTCCCCAACACAGTGCGCTCTCCCAACATGGATGCTAGAAGTGCTTTCTGCGGGTGGAGAGATGAGCACAGGACTTGTCTCTCTTCTGGCTCCAGCTCAGACACGGTGCGTCAGTGTTTCTAAAGTGAAGGCCCCCACGAGCCTGGGTTCTGAGATAAGAGTCTGCACGGCACCCCCAGCGCTCTCCTTCCTGTGGCGACGCTCCCTTATCTGGATCCCCGTGGGCAGGAAGGAACTGGGTTGCCAATAAGAAAACACAAGTGTACAGAGCACCTGGCAAAGGGTGAACTCATATCCAAATCTGCTCTCACCCACGCCACAGCCATTCCTGCTCTGTGGTACCCAGTCCTGTGCATCCTATGTCCACATTGTATCAGTGGGTCTGGATATCGGGCTCATCTTTTAAAGTTTCTTCCCTAATAAAAACTGGAAGGTTAAGTGTTCAGGATAAGGAAGGGACAGGAAGCCATGCTGAGAAAGGTAATTAGCAGTTAGTGCTGTACTCTTGCCCTTCACACAGCACTGAGGGGGTGGGGTTCCTGAGAGTTGAGAGGTGCAGCCTGGTAAACCTCCCACCCGTGAGCCTTAATGAGCAGCTCCTCAGGGCAGCGCCAGCTTCAGCTGTTATTCCTCCCTTTACCTTTAAAAGCAAACTGCAACCTGTTTCTCTCCTGAATTTCATAGAGCATGCCAAGAAATTGACAGCATGTGCCTTCAGTCTATGCTTCTCATGCCTTTTACCTTGTAATTTTGGTGATTTTATGTCCCAAATCTTGGGGATTGCTTCAGAAGGCAACTGATAGAAGCTTCCAGGTCATCAGTGGGGGTCAAGCCACTTTGCGCACCAAGCTGCCATATACTGAGATCCTTATCCCCTGAGGGCAGCTGGTGTGGGGCTGTGACACTTTATTCACTTATTTCCACTCTACCTCTTTTTAATTTTAAGGTTTTCAGATGTCATTCTGGCAACAATTTTGGCAACCAAGTCTGAAATGTGTGGCCAAAAATTTGAACTGAAGATCGATAACGTGCGTTTTGTCGGGCACCCGACACTCCTACAGCATGCGCTGGGGCAGGTAAGGGCCTCCCTGAGAATATAAGGCTCTCCCTGGGCAGGCATGGCCATCCTGGGCCCTCAGGGAACTGTGGCTGCCACTGGCTCCGGTAAAGATAGCGAGTGTGTGCCAGACCTGACCGCTACTTGCCGTCAGCTGCACATCACAGATCCTGAGGGACCCTCGGAGAAAGAGACAGGCATGCTTGCCCCAGAGTTTCAGTCCCTGCCCCTAGCTTTGGTAAAGTGGCACAAGCATTTCTTCTTACTTGTTAAGTGATCTCATGGCCAATATTATTATTAATTTAGCTCTTACTGTTGTGCTGAATCCTTCAGATACATTCTCTGATGAGTGAAATGTTACAGTGCTGGAGTTTTAACAAGACAGAATGCACTGTGACCCGAAGGAATCTGCACACCAGAACCTGCCAGTCAGTCCTTTGCACACAGGCAGAATCAGCAGCAGCATCACTCAGATTCTGAAGGACTTTGATATGACAGTATAAGATTTAGCTCCATTTATATGATCCAGAAATATGAGGGTCTGTGATGTGGTCCTCAAATATCCTCCATGACCAAGCTGGTGGAAAGAGCTGAGGTGGTTGGAGGTGCTAAGACATCAGACGGTCTGGGTGCACCTGGCCCCAAGGACAGCACCATCCCTCCTCACTGAAACCCCTGCAGGTAGGGATTAGATCCCTGACTGTGACCTGTGGGTGATGGAGGGGAGATTTGGCAGCCTGCTAACAGTCCTGGGCGTATAAAACTAGAGTGACAGGCAGGTTGGTGAGGAGCTAGTTGGGATAGCCCAGGGAGAGCTGGAGCCCTGGCCTCTTATGCCCCCTAGTGGCAACACTTGAAATCAGTGTGGTGTTTGTGACAGGTTGGCTGGCTGCCAGAGCAGCAGCCCTGTCTCTGCTGGCCCTTACCTGCCTAAGAAATTGACAGCATGTGTCTTCAGTCTATGCTGGGGCATTGTTCTCTCTCTCTCTCTCTCTCTCTCTCTCTCTAATATATTTTATTGATTTTTTTTAACAGAGAGGAAGGGAGAGAGAGAGCTTTCAAGGCAGGGGAGGGTGGGGGTGAGGGGGAAAGATCAATCAAAGGACTTGTATGCATGCATATAAGCATAAGTGATGGGTGTGGACAACAGGGGGTGAGGGTGAGGGCAGGATTGGGGGGATAAGGGGACACTGGGGGGATAAGGACACATTTGTAATATCTTATTCAATAAAGGGGAAAAAAAAAGAAACATCGATCAGTTGCCTCCTGCACACCCCCCATTGGGGATGTGCCCGCAACCGAGGTACATGCCCTTGACCAGAATCGAACCTGGGACCCTTCAGTCCACAGGCTGACTCTCTATCCATTGAGCCAAACCGGTTAGGGTGTCCTCTCTCTTAATCATCCTGAGTACTTATCATACCTGGCAGAGATGGCCTCAAGAACTCAGGTGGACACTGGGGATGGCAGTGGGGAGGATGTCTGGGCAGAGAACACTCCATCTGCTTGGGCCCCTCTCCATCATGTCTCCTCTGGGCACTTCAGCCCCCTTCCATTGACTGGGGCAGCCTCATCATGCTGGGTCAGAGCACTGACCTTCCTGTTATCTCAGTGGGGACTCATCTGTCCATGCCGTCACCACTAGCTCATGCAGAGGTGCTGGCCGATTCTCCGAGACCATAGGCTCTCTTTTCTTTTGGTTCTGCTGTATTTTGGAACCTTTCCCCATGCTTAAAGTAGAATAGCTCTAAACAGCTCTTCTTGGGAAGTTGGCTCTCATTCAATAGAATTATGCGTCTTTTACAGGTCTCCAAAACAGACCCGTCCCCGAAGAGGGAAGCTCCCACCATGATTCTTTTTAATGTGGTGTTTGCACTAAGGGTGAGTGTTTATAGGTGGCTGAAGAGCATGGGCAAATCAGGAAGGAGGGTAAGGTGTGGAACAGCAGCTCATTTCTGGTGAGTGTGTCATTGACTCAGAGCTTAGCCTGCAGTGGGCATGGCATTGGTCTACTCTTACTGTTTTCCTCTCTTTTTAAAAAAATAAAATACACATAACAAAATTTACCATTTTAACTGTTTTAAAGTATATGGTTTGGTGGCATCTTACAACAGTGTAACCATCCCCATTATCTAGTTTCAGATCGTTACTGTTACCCTAAAAGGAGCTCAGCTATTCCTTTTCTCTCCCGCCCTCTCCCAGCCCCTAGAAACCACCAATCTACTTCCTGTCTCTGTGGATTTACCTGTTCTGCATGTTTCATATGCATGTGATCCTACAATATGTGACCTTTGGTGTCTGGCTTCTTTGGATGAGCATAGTGATTTTGAGATTATCCCTGGTCATATATATCAGTACTTTATTCCTTTTTACGGTCAAATCGTATTCCATTGTATGAATAGACCATACTTTGTTTATCCCTTCATCTGTTGAGGAACATTTGAGTTTTTTTTCACCTTTTTCTATTATGAACAATGCTGTTAAGGATATTTGTATACAAATTTTTGTGTGGAGACATGTTTTCATTTCACTTGGGTATATACCTAGGAGTGGAATTGCTGGGTCATATGATAACTGTGTTTACCCATTTGAAGAACTGCCAGACTGTTCTCCACATTGCTGCACCATTTTACATTCCCAGGTGCAATGCACGAGGGTTCCAATTTCTTTACATCCTGACAACACTTGATATTTTCCATTTTTTAAATGATGAAGCCTAATTGTTCTCAGTGTTGTCTGAAGTTGTGTTTTTATTAATTACAGGAAAATTTTTTTCATTAAAGCTGTCAAAATATAAGGGATCCAAATAAACATAAAAGGCATCCCTGGGTAAGGACTGGCTTATATTATTAGTGGAATACCTAGGAAATTTATATCCAGTGACTGTTAAATAATGGCATTCCTCTGAAATATACCAGTATCAGTTTTCACCAAAGAACCCAGAAGTTCTTTCTGGATGGGCACGTGATCTGCACGACAGCTTTTGTGCAGAAATACGAGTGAGAAAGTGATTGGATTTCAGTGACAAGGAGCAGTGATGCCCTGAAAACCTTTGGAGTGGCAGGAATGAGACTGAGTAGAAAGGGAACCTATAAAATTAGGTGCCATTCTGAGTCTCAAGGTGTTTTTTTTATGGTGGCTTTTTTTTGGTATGGAGACTACATGTCTCACTCTGAACAGTTCAAAATCAAAATAATGCTAGAGAAAAGATCCATGAGAATGAAGCTTAATTTCTAAATTTTTACCTGTTGATAAAGACAACTACAAGTGAGAACAAAATGATTTGTTAGTGGTGGGGCCATGAAGTTCCAAGAGATCTTCCTACTTTATACACGTCTGTGGTATTTGCATCTTCACGATGTTCTTGTATTACTTATATAATTACATAATACAAAACCATCCACAAAGAGAACTCAAATTAAGTAAAAAACAAGCAAACAAAACCCATGACGAATGCTGTCCACCTGTCAGTCCTGATAGCCCCTGGGGGATGGGCAGTGAGGAGCAGCCACAACCCCACCCCAGATGTTGCCGGCAGGCTCTCATCCCTGGGCAGCATGTGATAGCAACATGTAAAGCAGTCAAGCAAGCACGCATATTATAGAGTCTTGTAAAGATTTTTATAATAATAATTAGACTGGAAGTAATTCTGGTATCCAGTAGTTGAGAGGTTGGAAAAGGTGGTGGTCATTACACACTGGCATGTTTGTGGCCATTGAAGATGAGAAATGGGGACGACATCAGAACCTGGAGGAGTGTAGATTACCACAGGTAGTATAGGACTTCAGATAGCATGGGCCATCGTGATGAAGAGTGGGAGGGATTTTAAATAATGTAAAGAGTTGATATTTTAGGGTAGACAAGTTTTAGTAGTCATGTAAAAATGTATACTTTTTTTATTTTGAAAAGTTTTAAACCCTGAGTTAGTGACAATAGTTTGATAAACCTATACCCCTGTCGCTGAGATTCCACAACTATCACCTTTGCATCTTGGTTCCATCTACTGCCCCCACCCCCTTACATTGTCACTTATGTATTTCAAGACAAGCCCTAGCCTCATGTCTGTTCACTCCTACATACTTCAGAAGGCATCTCTATAAAAATATGGGCATTTATTTTATACCAGAATACCCTTTTCACAGCTGAGAAAATTTGCAATAAGTTGGTGTAAACTAGTACGTGGTCCATTGAAGCTTTCCCCAATTGCCTCAGCATTTAAGCTGGTTGTCTTGTCTGAAGCAGGATTAAGACCCAGCCCGCACAAACATGTGTTGTCGGGTCTCTAGATCTCTGTCAGTCTAGGACTCTCTCCCCCATTTGTCCCATCACATGTTCTATGTTTGGACTCATTTCATTGTGCAGACAAGTCAGACTTGCTCTCTGTCCCTGTATTTCTTGCAAACTAAATGTTTGATTACATTTGGGTGTGAGTTCTGGGGACAAGAAAGTCTCACAGGTGATGCCCTGAACCTCATGCTGCCTCACAGCACGTGTGGCATTTCCAAGAGCTCCCACTCAGGGCTGGCGTGTCCTAGGACCTAGGTGGTAGTTCTCTCAGTGTGGCCACACAGCCTCAGGCTCTGCAGGCACCTTGAACAGTGTCTGGCCTGTGCAGCCAAACAGGCACCCTGGCACACTCCATCAGTGCTGGTCCTTGGGCCTCGCCTGGGCAAGCACCACCTTGCGTGTCTGAGAATGTGGGACAAACGGGCCCTGAGCCTCGGACAGCACTGTCCTGCCCCAGCCAGTGGGTCTTCTAGCAGAGAGTCATGTTCTCAGGTGGGACTTGCTTACTCTTCAAGGAAATGACCATGTGCTCAAGATCATTCTCCTACCTCTCCTTTGCTCTGGGAGTATTTCCACACAGGTTCTTCTGGAAGGGTTTTGAGGCAATTGTATATACTCTAAGCCAGTGGTTCTCCACCTTCCTAATGCCGCGACCCTTTAATACAGTTCCTCATGTTGTGGTGACCCCCAACCATAAAATTATTTTCGTTGCTACTTCATAACTGTAATTTTGCTACTGTTATGAATCGTCATGTAAATATCTGATATGCAGGATGTATTTTCATTGTTACAAATTGGACATAATTAAAGCATAGTGATTAATCACAAAAACAATATGTAATTATATATGTGTTTTCCGATGGTCTTAGGCAACCCCTGTGAAAGGGTCGTTCAACCTCCAAAGGGGTCGCGACCCACAGGTTGAGAACCGCTGCTCTAAAACCAGACCCTGCAGTTTCGTAATCTTGCAGGGGACACTGTTGAGGGGATGCCCTTGACACAAAGGGACAGGGCTGCTGCCAGTAGTGGGCATAGCATGGGAACAACCTTTGGTTCTCTCCCCAGCACAGATATGCTGCCAGGTGTGAGTTCTGTTTGTGAACATGACATCTACTAGTTTAGAAAATCTCTCCCAGCTCCCAGGGATGAAGGTGTTTACTGTGGGCAGGGCTCTCTCTGGCAGATAAACGAGAGGGAGGCAGCACCAGGGGTTCTAATCAGCAGCACCATTCTCCCTCTTCCTTTTCTCACCTCCGCCCCATAGGATGACTCAGCTGCCCTGTGGGCCTCCTGAAGCACTGAGTCATGGCTGGCCAGTTATCTGCTCCAAGGAGCATCTTCACAGACCCCACAGCCACCTGCTCCACCCTTGGCCGGGCCCGACTGCAGCCCCTGATAGTTTCTAGAGTTGACACAGGGGATGGGAGTGGCTGGAGCCAGCTGGCTTCTCCTGTTAGCCAAGGTCATGTCTGCTAGAAAGAGCCACTTAACCTTGAGGATAGAAAATGTTCAGTGAACTGTTAGCCTGGTGATTCTGTTTATTATACTTTGTGTCCCTATAAGAGGGGCTGTGTGACTAAATTCTACCATAGCCAGTTGGTCCACCAACAGTCAGCAGTACACTGGTGACTGCAAACACTGCCAGGGATTTTGCTGTGGGTAGTCTCTGTTTTGAGCACCTGACATTTCTGACTAATTGGTGATGGGGGTGCCACTGTTGTCCTTTCTTAGATGGGAGCCCTGTGACCCAGGGTCACACAGCAGGTGGTTGGACAGATCTGTACCTTCCATTATCCCACTGGCTGCCTCTGTCATGCCCAGAGTGGATGTCTGACTTGTGCCCTACCTTCCTGGGTGGCCCTGGTGCCCTGCAGTGTGGGAGCCTTCCTCTACTTCAGCGGTTCTCAACCTGTGGGTCGCGACCCCTTGGCGGTCGAACGACCCTTTCACAGGGGTCACCTAAGACCATCCTGCATATCAGATATTTACATTATGATTCATAACAGTAGCAACATTACAGTTATGAATAATTTTATGGTTGGGTCACAACATGAGGAACTGTATTTAAAGGGCCAGAAGGTTGAGAACCACTGCTCTACTTGTTAGAAATGCCTGGTTCCCTACCCCCCACACTGGGTGACCCCACGGAGCCATCTCTGTGCTGCCATCCAGGCAGCTATCCCCAAGATAGGATGCTGAGCGGACTGGCGTTTATGGACAGCTCCTAGAGGGGACACAGGAAATTGGTGATAGTGGCACCTGGAGAGGAGCCTGGGGGAAAGGAGTAGAGGATTCCTTCATGGTTTCAGTGTTTGCTTTGTATGTGTATTACCTGAGTACATAAGCTGCATTTGAGTCAAGCTTGGCTTCTCCCACAGGCCAACGCGGATCCCTCGGTGATCAACTGCCTGCACAACCTTTCCCGACGAATCGCCACCGTGCTGCAGCACGAGGAGCGCCGCTGCCAGTACCTCACTCGGGAGGCCAAGCTGATCCTCGCGCTGCAGGACGAGGTGTCTGCTGTGGCCGATGGTGAGTGCGGCAGGCGTCTCTCCTACCCAACAGCACAGAGCAGGCAGTGTTTCCAGGCAGGACACGGCTCTGGTTTTGAAGACATGGAAGCCGAGGTGCTCAGAGTTCCATCCTCCTCAGCCTGGACTGAGCAGGCCCCAGTGCAGAGGGAGACTCTCCGGGGCACAGCTGTAGACCCCTTTCCCGGCCTGATGGGCTAACACTGATTCCTTAGCCTGAAGCATTTTCCTCCCCACAAATGCTCATGGTGGCTCTTCACGCAGGTCTTCACTGCCTGCTGGCCCTGGTGCTGCTGGCCCTGCGTCCCAGGCTGGAGGACCTGTGGAGGGGCCAGCGGGAGTAGTGAGCTGGCAGGGTGGGTGCTTTTCAGTTCTTTGCTTTCAACTAAATTGAAGGAGGACCTAATGGAGTTATCAACTGGAAAGTTATTAAAAATAATTTAAAATATATATATTTATTGATTTCAGAAAGGAAGGGAGAGGGAGAGAGAGAAAGAAACATCAATGTTCCTGTACACCCCGCACTGGGAATTGAGCCTGCAACCTGGGCATGTGCCTTGACCGGGAATTGAACTGTGACCTCCTGGTTCATAGATCAACTCTCAACCACTGAGCCACACCGGCTGGGCTGTTAAAAATAGATACATTACCATGTGGTGTTTGACATACCGTCAACATTTGAAAGTGTGAAGAGACTCCTACCTGTAACAGACCCACCTCCATCCTCTCAGGTCAGCATCTTTGTAACAAAAGCAAAAACCAAGAACACAGTTGAAGGTGAGCCCAGTCTGATTTTAGCAGCAAGTAAAAGCAGCGGTCACCATGCACGAACTATCCCACTCAGGTGCATTTTCAGTAAAAATTTACTTTTTATGTTTGACAATGAAGTTTTATTTCTTAAAACACTTTCTTTAGAGTCTGATTTTGTCACAGGAATTTTAAAAGTTCAATTTAGTACAAATATTTGTTTAGATATTTATGAGACAGGATTAATGAAAAAGACTTTCAGTCAGAAAGATAAATTATGTTAGCATAAATGTGGGGGAAAGAGTGGGATGAGGCCTGGAACTACATGGTCACTGAGGCAGAAGATGGCGCTGGTGGTCCGAGGTAGTCTTCAGGAGCGGTAGGGAAAAGCGTCAGGTGGGGCCAGTGCTGAAGTTTAAATACAAATATTTCATATAAAGACAGTTGAACAAATCGGCCTGAGTATAATTTTAATTCAGCTGGATGCCAAAATTTTATGAGAAGCAGTTGTGAGCCCTGGCTGATGTGGCTCAGTTGTTTGGGCATCACCCTGTGCACTGAAAGGTTGCCAGTTCGATTCCTAGTCAGGGCACATGCCCGGTTACAGGCTCTATCCCTGGTAGGGGACGTATAGGAGGCAGCCAATCCATGTTGTGCTCGCACATTGATGTTTCTCCCTCTCTCTCCCTTTCCCTTCCTCTCTCTCTAAAAAATCAATAAACTATAAAAAAAAGAAGAAACAGCCTGGCCGGCATGGCTCAGTGGTCGAGCATTGACCTATGCACCAGGTCGTGGTTCGATTGTCCGTCAGGTTGCGGGTTTGATCCCCAGTGTGGAGTGTACAGGAGCCAGCTGACCAATGATTCTCTCTCATCATTGATGTTTCTATCTCTCTCCCCATCTCTGAAATCAATAAAAATAAAAAGGAAGAGGAAGAAGCAGTTGTGAATATCCTGATGATTGGTTTAAAGTTACTGAAAATTCCTTTTAAGTTGTTTTTAAAGGTATTTTAACTTGTTTTTAAAGGTATTTTCTATTCTAGCCTGTGTGGAGTTTCCTTGCTTTGGAGATTCTAAGTCCTTCTGTGTCTCAATTCTTGCAGCAAATGATGGTCCGCAGTCTCCGTTCCATCACATCCTGCCCAAGTGCAAGCTGGCCAGGGACCTCAAGGAAGCTTACGACAGGTAGGACAGGCGAGCAGCACACCATGCACTTCCTTCTCGTGGGCCTTACTGCCTGAGCGGTGTCTGATAATGGGACTCCCTCCTCTGGGTGCTCTCCCGTTGTGTCACTGAAATGGGGGTGAGAGGGCAGGAAGTGCCAACCCCTTTGGTGTGCGCCCGACTGGAACAGTCACCTCCATACTTAACCAAAAGTGAGCCTGAAGTTACACATGAGAGCCTGAAAGTGCATTTGAGTCCTCAAATGCAAGGTGATTTTACTGAGCCTGGCACAGCGCCAAGTTCTGGGTCCACCTTCATTAGGTGCGTGTCGTTGTCACCTTTCACCCATGAGGAAACAGGCTCAAAGGATGGAGAGGGGCTGGCCCTGCCCTGGGGAACTGGGGGCCTGGGACACTCAGTGTATGAGTGCAGCAGGTGTTGGAGACACAGCGGAAACCTTACAGTTGTTCGGATTATATTTGTGGCTCAGCACCTACGCTCTTAAACATGGATAAGCAAAGAACTTACTTTCTTTTTAAAGGGTGTCCTGTGGCTCTGGTGCTGGGTCTGCAGTGGGGGATGGAGGTTTGGTGGGGGCGAGTGCCCAAGGGACAGCCCACCTGGCAGTTTTGCCTTCCCTGTCCTGCACCGGCCGGTTGGTTCACAGGGTACCACCCAGCACCAGGCAGCAGCATGTGGGCGCAGGCTTCTTCAGTGCCGTCCAGTTCCATTGCCTCTTTCTGCCTCTCTTCCTCCCTCATTCCCTTACATTTCCACATTCTCCTTGGCGAGTGCGCAGCTCAGCGCTCCCACCTGGCCTTCCAGGCTGCACTCCATTCCACTGCACTCTTCTCCCACTGGAGGTGGTCCTGATGTAAGAACTGTGGCCGCGACACCACGTGTCATCGAAGCCCAGAGACAGCGGTTTGTCCAGGATCCTTTCCCTTTTTTATGTTAATTTATTCTGATTTTACTAACACTAAAGACATTTAGGAAATACAGAAAAGTATAAACAAAATGAAAGTCATCTATAATTTTATACACAGTGATAATCACTATGAACATTTTGGTAATTTTTTTAAACTTGATTTTTTGAAAGGTCACATATTCATCAAGACTGAAATTTAGAGCTTTGGTTTTGTCTCCTGCTGCACTCCGACCAGCTTCTCATCCTGGCGGCAGGATGCATTTCAGCGACAGCCTTCCTCACAGATGGGTTTACCGTAAGGTGCATACAGGCAAATAGTGATCCACTGTCTCCCTTTACATACTGGCAGCACACTGGGCATCCGGTTCGCCTGTTGCCTTCTCAGATAACAGGATACCTTAGGCTTCTGCCTGTGCTGATGAATAAGAACTTTTGTTTTTTTTGCTGCATAGTTAGCCAGCCCCCTCCCTTGGGCATTTATTTGGCTTCACGTTTTGCTGCTGTAAGACATGCTGCCCACCCACATGCATGTGTGATTGTGCATCTGTACCCACACATCCATAACATAATTCCTGAAAGTGGGGTTGCTAGGGCGCAGAGGTAAAATGCATTTCCTTCTGTGGAGTATGTGCCTCGATCTACACTCCCACCAGAAGCACGTGAGATACCTGTCAACACAGCGTCTTGGTGAGCTTCTTGGTTTTAACCAATGTAAGGGTAGAGCATAGTGTCTCAATGCAGCTTATGCACGTCTTCACGTGTTTACACCATCCCTGTTTTCTTTTCTGGCAGCTCTCTGCTCAGACCCCCTGCTTGTTGTTCTGTTGGGAGGTGTACGTGCCTTTTCAAGGAGGGGGAGTTGCCCTTTGTGAGGGCATCTTGTGCTTCCCTTGTCTTTATTTTGGTGACCTCTGGGTGTGGCTTCTGGCTGTTAAGAGAACATCAGGGCAGCCTGAACTGCCCTTGCTGAGTGAGGGTTTTGGTTTCTGATCCCTCCTACTTCGGAGAACTTGACCCAGAATGGGATTTTTGGTCTTGCAGTCCGACCCTGTCTTTGTATTCCACATGATCACATTGGAGTTTGCCCTGCGGTAAAAGAATTGTCGTCCTCTGGTCTTGGATTGACTGGTATCAAAATCCCTTTCTAGGCCCTGCCAGTGTGGCTCAGTTGGTTGAGTGTTGTCCCATGCAACCGATTGGTGTTTCTCTCTCATTGATGTTTCTCCTTTTCCCTCTCCCTTCCTCTCTCTCTCTAAATTAAAAATTTAAAAAACAGTTTAAAAAGTCCCTTCCTTGGAAACTGCTGTTGCCTTACTCTGAGTGGGAATTTGCATGCCTCAACTCGGATTATGCTTGATATTAGCCAAAAGGCCAAGAAGTGATCTCAACTAGGGTTAGACTACAGCAAAATTCAGGCTAACCTGGAATTAAAATGAAAAGCAAACAGGAGAAGACTGTATATTCCTGAAGAAAGAAGGGACTGTGATTTCTTATATTTGAACTGCACTGGAAAGCTGGGGGGATGAGATCCTGGATTGTGTGTCAGGGCCTGAGGCAGCTCAGAGCCTGAGGCAGCCAGTGCCCCCTAGTGGACATCAGTTTGAAAGAGGACAGGAATTGGTTTTTGTCAAAAACAGCTTCCAGAATCCACTGTCCAGCACTTAGCTTCCCTCCTTTAACCCAGGCATCTGTTGTTAGTGCCCAGGATTGAATTTCCTCCAGGCGAACCCCGCAGCCCACCCTGATCCTAGACTTCACTTTGACCTGTCTTGGTTCTGGCCCCATCCCCAGGAGAGCCAGGGGCAGTTGTGTCCACCCTTGTACCTGTCCCAACCTGGCAACAGCAATGGCCCCCAGGAGCCTCCCTGGCCTGTGGCCTGTGACCTTCCGGGTCCATGTTGGCCCTGAGGGTCTGGCCTGGCCTGCCCTCACTCCTGCAGAATGGTCTGCACCTTGGAGCTAAGAAAGGGAGGCTGAGTTTCTGTTACTGATCAGGCAGCATAACAACACAGATAGCGACTTCCTGACAGATCCCTGGGGAAGGGTTTCTCAGAGCAGAAATGAGAGACAGGAAGCTGTGAGACAGCAGTGTTGGAGATTGGGATGGGACTTTTCAAAGGAATTGTTCTGAATTTGGTGTTTTAATTAAAATTCAGGGACCCAGCCAGAGTGGCTCAGTGGCTGAGCATCGACCCATGAACCATGAGGTCACGGTTCGATTCCTGGTCAGGTCATATGGTTGCAGGCTCGATCCCCAGTAGAGGTGTGCAGAAGGCAGCCCATCAGTGATTCTCTCTCATCATTGATGTTTCTATTTCTCTCTCCCTCTCCTTCCCTCTCTGAAATCAACAAAAATATATTTTAAAATAATAATAAAATCCGGGGGTATGGTGTGGCTGAGCGGCCTGGTGGCCCCTTGCCCAAGGACCTGAGTGTCTGTGAATGTAGGCTGGCAGTGTGAATCCCTCCAGAGGCCCCGACTGTCCTAGCGCCTGTGTCTTCCTGTGGAACTTGGGGACCTCAGTGATAGTATCCCATTCATTTGTGTGACCGTCCGGTTGTGTCTCCCACGAGATCAGGGACATCCCTTCACTTTTCCTGACGAGCCCTGTGCTTGGCGCGTGGAGAAGCACAGCTCATCCACTAGTAGTTGAAAGGACCAGTAATAGGAGTCACGTCTCTGTGGATTCCATGGACTTGGAGTGTTTGACTGGTTCTCCATCGTTAACTGGGCCTGTGGTCGTGTCTGCGAGGCTGGGGACTCTGCCCGCTCCTCACTGCCTCACACTGCTGCCTGTCCAGAGCAGACATGGGCCCACAGACACCTCCACGAGCATCCTGGGAGTTCTAGTTCCTATTTCCATGAAGTGGACCTGCATAGAAACTTCTGTTTGCAATTTCAAGGTGGGCCTTTCGGAGCCCACCCGGACCTTTTGGATCAGGTGCAGGGTCCCACTGCATGCCAGGGGAAGCCGGCTGCGTGAGACAAGGGGACCAGAAGGTCAGGGCTAGCTTGAAGGTCTCTGGCCTGGGGCAGGAAGAAGGGTGACCAAAGGATGAGTCCGTTGTTAGCCAGAGGTTAGGAACTGAAAGTCTTTCTCAGATGCTGAGCTCTGAGGGTAATGGACTAAGCTTGTACACATTTCTGTCTGGGGGGTGACAGATAAGCATATTTTGGGCTGGTGTGTGGCCTCCTGCACAGTCATCGCTTCAGGGCGGGGCTCTGGCCGGAGCAGGCATGTATCTCTTGTCGCAGACAGGGCTTGGCTCTCCCTTCTGGCCCCGGGCTGTGTGAGGGCTGGATAAGCCTCACATGGACAGCGTTTTCCTGCAGTAATTCCAGGTCAAACTGCTAGCTGCCCTACAAAGAGAAGTACAAGCTTAGTAGGGACTTTTAGGGCCCAAAGCCCCACTCTGCTAGTCACGTCTTAAAACTGTATTTTACAAACAAAACAAAACTGTGCTTTACAAACAGGCACAAACCTTTTTCCTCCTCCTCTTGACAGATTTCAGTGCACTTCCAGCTCACCTCTGGATGTGGGAGGTTTACAGGGCTTCTCTGGGAGCTTGAGGGCCATTCTCTCTCTTCCTGACTAGTTCCAGGGTTTCCCAGGAATTCTAGGGTCTGCAGCTGGCCCTCTATAGGATGCTGCTGGGGTGGCATTCAGGGTCTCCACACTGTTTGTAGAGAGGCACCACCATGGGTGCAAAGCGCTCCGGGGGAGGAGGTTGCTGGCAGGTGAGCAAATGCTTGGAAAAATGTAGAAACATCCTCATGGAAACCAGGAAATCAATGTGAGTGTGCCCCCTTTCCCCACCTCCACCCCCCAAAAAAGGACCTCATGCCACTGTACACCAGACGGTATGGCCTAAGATGGCTGACATGTGGAGTTGCTCTATGGGCCTAATTCATCCCCCTCGCACCCAAACCAGGCACTTGCTGTCGTCTCTCCATGAGGTTTGTTCCAAGCCCCAAACGCCGGTACCCTGCACACCCTGCACCCTCCTCTGCTGTTCTCTTTCCTACAGCTCTCTCCAGCTTCCTATGTGCCATACAGTTTGCTTCCCTGACGCCACTGAGGCAGAGCCCCCCCAGATGTAAGGCTGTGAGTTTTACCCCAGGAGCCTGAACCAGTGCTTGGAGCCTCAGCACATGTCAGGTCATTGGCAGTTTGCACATGGCATCACTGAGCACCTGGTGGATCAAAACCAGCTACTTTTCAAAATGATAGGAATCGTCTAATTCTGATTCTGTGGTGTTTGAACAGCTACTCTGAGCCATGTGCTGAAGAGGACAACTCAAAACTAGAAAGACCTTTATTTTTAATCAGCCAGCCTGAAGCAGGAGGAGCCTGGCCATTTCACTGTCCCTACAGCCCCTGGTTTTCCTCGCTGCTCTGTTTGTATGTGATGCTGAGAGCATAAATATTGCTCACTGAGTCAAGTGGAGCAACTCACCTGGGCCCCCTGGGCAACTCTCTCATGGTGTGACCTTTGATTCCTTAAGAGGCTGGGCTGTGTCAGGGTTTGATGTCCAGCCAGCAAGCCCTTGGGCCAAGGAAGGGCACGGCGACGGGAGCCTTCGTCTGCTGAGATGTACTGCGTAGCACTCAGTTCTAGAAGAAGCCAAGAATGGGATCTTCCGCTGGGGCCTTGGGGAAAGACCCTGCGTCTCTTCCCCAAATCGTCACACATCAGATCTGTTCATAGGTTTCACGCTGTGGGGCTGGGGCACCAGCAGCGACCAAACCTTGGTCTTCCAGACTCAGCCACAGCCTGCAGCCCCCCAGCCTCTGCAGCCAGGGGTGCTGCTTGGGGCATTGAGATCTTGGGAGAGGGCATGGTGTTCCCAATGCCCCGAGGCAGGGCAGGCAGAGTGTCTGGGAGCTCTGGGGCAGTTTGCAGGGAGCAAATGGTTGGTGTTGGCAGAAATCCTAGGGGTAGTTGAGGGTGATAAATGTGCTCTGTATTCTTCCCACTGTGTTCTCTCCCCATTCCCTGCTTGAGAGAATACAGGCTTATTTTTGCATTTGAAACTGCTGACCACAGATTCAGCCAGCCCTCCGGCAGACCTGGGGGGGAAGCTTGGGATTGTTGGTCTGCTGCCTGAGGCTTCAGGGAAGAGACTGTAAGAACAGCCAGTGGGTGTGGGGAGTGAGGGCCATCGAGCTGCTTCCCAGCATTGTGTACCTGAATGCCCCCAAGAGAGGTCTGGGACCTGGGTGAAGTGGCAGCTCCCACCAAACCTCCCCCAGCCACTGGCCTGCCCCACACTTGGCTGGAGGCGGGCATCTTGGTCTGTCCATCCAGCTGGGAATAGCATTTCAGGGTCGGAATGGGATGGAAAGGGCACCGCCTAGCCCAGCTGGGTCCGGGCAGGCCAGGCCTTCACAGTGGGCACGGGCCCCTCTCATCACCTGCTGCGGGACAGCGAGGATCAGCCGTGGGGACTTGGCTCAAGCAGTTGCTTCTCTTTGGTGTCAGACACCAAGTGCTTTCAGTGCAGGGGCTGAGCAGCCAGGCTGTGGGTGGAGGTCAGGCTGGCTTCCCTGCCGGGGAGTTTCAGAAGCTCCTGCTGGAAACAGCCCCTTGGTATGTGGTTCCCCAGCCGCCAGGAGCCCGTTCTCTGGGCAAGGGCTGCCTGAGAGAGTCACCTGAGCAGGAAGCGCATCCCTCAGGCCCCTCTCCTTCCTTCATTTATGAGGTGCTTCTCAGTGCCCCCGAGTATCCCACACGGAGTCAGCCATGCTGTGAGCAGGGAACAAAACGCAAGGCCCCACCTCGACTGCATTCTGGTTGAGGAAACAGCTTAGCCAGCAGACAAGTAGGCATGTCTTGTGGTCAGGTGCTCAAGGCAGGTGAACAGTGAGCAGTCAGATTGCCTGGGGGGCTGCGGCTCACTGAGAAAGTGGCACTTGAGTTGAAACCTGAAGGAGGGAAGGAGCTCCTGGCACCGAGAGAGACTTATAGTCAAGGACAAGTACAAGGGCCCTAAAACAGCAGGGTGGCTGGTGTAGCTGGGCCTGCCTGGGGTAGGAGACAAGGTCAGAGAACATGGGCACATCACTCAAGGCTCCTGGCATTGTGGGGTCTTGGCTGGAACTGCCGAGGTGGATGCCATGGGGCCTGTGGGGGAGGGCGGACAGGGGGCCAGTGCTGAGAAGGACTGGGCTTTGTAGGGCCCTGCAGGTGCTGAGACACGTTTGCTAATGGTCTGAGGCAGGCGGTGAGAGAAGCGAGGAGGCAGGAACAGCGTTGCCGTGTTTGGTCTGAGCTAGGATTGGCCTGAAAGAACCAAATTGCCATCAGTGAGGCTGGTTTCGACAGTTGCTGTGGTGCACCTGGGGCGCTGCTGGCATCTGCAGGGAGGTGGGCACTATGTGCTCCTCCCCAACAGGATGTCCTATGGGACTTGGCACCCCCACCCTTCCTGTGCTGCCCACGGCTCCTTTTGGGAGACAGGCCTTGCCCTGCCTGATGGGGGTGCAGGAAGAGGCATGAGAAAACACCCCTGCATCAGTTGCATTGAGCCTCTGAGAGAGAACAGGCTTCCCTGTGCCCTCGCACTCTGATTGGACTACAGAGTCCAGGGCTAGCCAGAAATACAACATTTTCCTCTCTTCAACATGCTGAGTCTGGAAAGATGCTTTCTTGCCCTGGGGGTCTCCACTTGTAGTTTCCTCCGACCAACAGGAGCAGTGTACTGGGAAGAAGTGCCCTCAGGCGGGGTGTTGTGTGATGTGTGTGTCTGGGTAGCGGTTGCTGTGTGAATGGGCGATGGCACCGACAGAAATGGAGCCTGCTGTCTGCAGCTTGTGTACGTCTGGCGTGGTGCGGCTGCACATCAACAGCTGGCTGGAGGTGAGCTTCTGCCTGCCCCACAAGATCCACTACGCTGCTGCGAGCCTCATCCCCCCTGAAGCCATCGAGCGGAGCCTGAAGGCCATTCGGTGAGTGCCAGCCCATGCACACTCCCTTCGGGGCCCCTTCTCTGCTGCCTGAGGTTTCACCAATTACTTTGTTCCAAAAGTTCTTTTCTTCCTGCCACAGAAATTGGCAGATCAGGCTCTCCTGTTTATAGAAGTAAAAACACATGTTTTTGTGTCTGGTTTTGTATAGAAAGGACCAGCTCCAGGTTTTCCCTGGGCCGTCTGGGCACTGCCTGGGTGGGTGGGGCTCCGTGCTGAGGTCCTCACCTGCGTCCTGGGTACTGAGCATCCTGGGGAACAGACGTACCATTGGGGGGATATTGTCGTCAAGGTGTTGCTCACCGGTTCCTCTTACATTTGAATTTGAACTTGTGGGATCTGTTTCTTAATTTAATAGATTTCCTGCAAGGAAAGAGCTGAGCCCAATCTCCTCCTGTCCCAGCCCCCAACCAAGTCCTCAGTTTCCTTAAATATTCTTTAACTAAAAAAAGAAATCTGGGCACATTGCAGAAAATGTGAAGGTGAAAGAAAGCAAAACACTGCCTCATTCTCTCTCCCTCCCCCAGTCTGTACTCCAAGTTAATATCTTTCCTCCTGGTTTCCGTGCTCAGCATATTTTTATGTAGTTCTATTCATAGTCGCAGCAGCGATTTTACTTTTCCCATATTTGGGACTCTTCTTTAGGAAAGATTCATTTATTTTTTTTCAATCACAAATGTTTGCAAGGCAATCCCAGAAGTGGGAGATGGAGTCTGGTTGTCAGACCTTCCTGTTTTTTGTTTTTGTTTTTAAATATGTTTTTATTGATTTCATAGAGAGAGGAAGGGAGAGGGAGAGAGAAACATCTATCTACCACCTCCTGCACGCCCCCTACTGGGGATTGAGCCCGCAACAGGGGCCTGTGCCCTGATTGGGAATCAAACCTGATTGGTGCGTGGGGCGACACTCAGTCAACTGAGCCACACTTGCTGGGCAGACCTTCAGTTTTGTTGCAGTTTTTTCTTTCTTTCTGTGAGTGACAGTAATCCTTGCAGATGTTTAAAGGCCCTTGGACTTACCACTGCCCTTGTCTCTAATTCCTCCTGTGGTCTCTCCTTTCTGAGGTTCAGTGCCTGGGGCCCCAGCTGCACCTCTGTGTTCCAGGTGCAGGCCTGGGGCAGGGGACCTGTGTCTCACATGTCCTGCTGACCTGACTGCTCCACAGCCCGTACCATGCCCTGCTGCTGCTCAGTGACGAGAAGTCCCTGCTGGGTGAGCTCCCACTCGACTGCTCCCCGGCCCTGGTGCGTGTGATCAAGACCACGTCTGCCGTGAAGAACCTGCAGCAGCTGGCCCAGGATGCAGACCTGGCCTTGCTGCAGGTATTGCCCTAGCCCCTGGGGGAGACTCCCTGGGTAGGGAAGGATAGGTGGGAGAAGGGTCTGGGTACAGCAGAGCAGAGGGCCCTTGTTTGAAGGCGGGAGGGGCTGGGGTGTCAGGAAAGCAGGCTGCCTCCATCCAGATAAGAGCCAGTGACAGTGGCTCCGGGGTTGGCTGGAGGCTCTGAAATCTGAGTCAGGTCTGGATTCAGGGCTGACTTCCTCTTCCTTTGAGGGTGGTGAGGCTGCAGCAGAGAGAAGTGAGGCCCTGCGGTGCTGGGAAGGTGCCAGGACAGGGTGGCTTGTAGGGCTGGAGCAGAGGTACACAGCATGTGGCCACATGAGAAAGCAGTACTGCAACCTCAAAGTAGGGGAAGTGAGAGCAGGACACAACATGGGCCTGCCCACATGGCCTTGACCACTCCCCTGCAGGGCTGAACCATGTGCTTGTGGGATGCCCTTTCAGATTGGATGGAGGCCCCTCAGCCCTGGCGGTGGATCTGGTTGGAGCCTGGACAGGGGTCGGGGCTTCCAAGGAAAAGCACAGGAAGAAATTGCAGGCCAAGGGCAGGGGCTCCTCTGGTTCCGGTGACTGTGAGCACCGTGTGGCCACCAGAGGGCAGCAGGGCCTGTCCCAGGGACGTGTAGTTCCTGCGATGGCCACTGGGCGGCAGTTCTCTCAGGCTGAGGAGGAGCACAGGCGAGAGGCTGGCCCACCTGGGCTCCTGAGGGGAGCTTGTCGAACAAGGACTCGGGCTGTTTTTTCCCAAAGCAGTCATTTTGGATTCTGTCATCCAGAACAAGCCTTCCATCATCTGTACCCCATGGCTTCTGTCGGCCCCTGTGAGAATGTTTATTGGGTTCTGCCTGGTGTTTCATAGGGGCTCTATTGAGGACCGCGTCCTGCTTGCCTTCACAGCAGACACGAAACACAGAACCTTAAATGCGCTCACTGTTCTCTATGTGCTGCAGAGCTTGTGTTCTGACCAGTGCTGGCCAGTGGCAGATATCTGTGAGTCTTTGCAGCTGCCATTTCAAACTTCGAAAGAAGCTGGCCTTCTGTCCACTGAGGCTGCCCAACATGAAGTCTGTCTGTACGCCGTGCCTCACGCTTGCTCTCAGTCTCTTTGGACAAAGACAAAGCTTTGATGATGTCTCCTTTGCTTCCCTGCCCCGGCCTTGCATGGGGAGGAACTGCTGTTTCCTGGCTGGTGTGGTTGTCCAGAAGCTCCCCGAGGCCCAGCCCTGGTGGTGGACCTCACCAAGCTCTGCTGCCCACAGCAGGTGGCCCAGTGGAGAGCCCGTGTCTGAGTTATGTGTGAATGTCACTCATCTACAAGTAAATGGGGTTGTTTCCCTCATGATGGAATTAATATGTTCTTTCTTACAAAAGTTCAAATAGGACACAATTTACAGACCCAAAAAAGAGAAAGTCCACACCATCCCATATCCCAAACATAACTGCTGTGGATTCCTCCGGGTTTTTCTCATAGGTTAACGCATTATCTTTGAATAACAACATTTGGATCACACTGTACATTACTTGTGATTGCCTAAACAATGCCCATAGACCTCCACCTCCTAACCCCCAGGACCTGTGTGGGACTCTGCAGGTGTGATTAAGGATCTGGAGGTGGGGCAGTGGTCCCGTATTATCTGGGTGGGCCCAGTGTCATCACAAGGGCCCTTGTAAGCGGGAGGCAGAGGGAAATTTGACTCCAGAAGAGGAGGTGGGGATGTGACCGTGATGAGGCCACATGCCAAGGAACGCTGCGGCCAGCAGAGGCGAAGAGCAGATTCTTCCCGAGAGTCGGAGGGGGCTGCCCTGCCAGCACCTGACTCCAGGCGTGTGCTAGTGGTGGTGGACTCCGGACTCCGGAGTGGTGCTCTGACTGGGAGACGCGGGAGATGGAGGAGAGTGGGCGTGTCCTTGCTTTAGAGTAAGTGTCAGTGGGGCTTGGGATGAGAGAAGAGGGTCAGTGATGGAACGGAAATGTCTGTTGTGTTCAAGTTGGTGGTGCCACTGGAGGTCCCATGTGCCGAATGAGCTGGGTAGAGGCGTCCTTGGCATCGCAGGCATTGCATGCAGGCAGGGTGACTCACCCGTGGAGGCACTTAGTGATGGTAGAGGCAGCAGGCCTGCCTGGGACAGCGCTCACCGAGGCTGATGTAGCTCAGATGTGCCCAGTGTCTGTCTGTCCACCAAGTGAGGCAGTGCCCTGTTCTCAGACCGGGCCTCCCTGTGAGGCTGGAGGGACGTCGGGCATCGGTCTGTCGGTGGCCCATCCTGATGTCCAGGAGTCCAGGAGAGCAGGCGGTGGGATGTCCTCCAGGATGCTGAGCCACACGGGGATGAGTGCACGGGGTGGAGGGCATGTCTGGTGACCCCACATCCATTGTCACGTGGAAACCCATCCCCTTGCTGGAGTCCTGGTGGGGGTGGGGGACCTGCCTCTGCCAGGGTGTCCAGCCAAGCCCCTTGCTCAGCTGAGCTTACCCCGTGATCCTGGGTGTCCCCAATGTCCCTGTGCCAGCCAGGACAGTGCGGGGCCCTAAAAGGAAATGACAGTCCCAAACCGCACAGGGACCAGTGTCAAAAGGCTGTTGCTCTGAACATAGAAAACGCTGTGTGTGCTGCTGTGCCCAGCCCCCTGCGGGAGGTTGGGGAGTCAGAGAGAAGCCCAGTGGGCCAGCCTCCCAGGCACTGTGCTGCCAGCCCCTCTGCCCGCAGGTTTTCCAGCTTGCAGCCCACCTGGTGTACTGGGGCAAGGCCATCATCATCTACCCGCTGTGTGAGAACAACGTCTACATGCTCTCTCCCAACGCCAGCGTGTGTCTGTGAGTACCTCTGGCTGCCAGGGCCCAGGGTTTGAATGGGAAGGGGGTGTGGCTGGCAGGCCCTTCCAGGGGGTCTCTCCAGGTTAGGCAGGACTTCCCTCGGACCAGATGCCTGGCCTCTGCTGTGCCCAGGTTCTGATTCTGGCCTGGCCCAGCACCACATGGGCCTGTGCGCCTCTGGCACCTGCAGCCTTCAGGAAGGGCCTGCGCCTGCGATGTCTACAGTCAGTGAGCTCCGTATGGGGTGCCTGAGGGGTGGTCAGGAACCTTGGCCTTTATTCCGGAGCTGAGAGGGGCTGTGGGGTGGCCAGTGCCCATGGCTTCTGCCACCCCTTGAAGGAAAGCAGCTGGGCTCTGTCCTCATTGTACCCACCCTGACCTCCCAACTGTGCCACTGCGCCCAATCTCACCTCCCCACTGTGCCATTGCACCCATCCTCTCCCCCCCACTGTGCCACTACGCCCATCCTCACCTCCGCACTGTGCCATTGCACCCATCCTCTCCCCCCCACTGTGCCACTACGCCCATCCTCACCTCCGCACTGTGCCATTGCACCCATCCTCTCCCCCCCACTGTGCCACTACGCCCATCCTCACCTCCGCACTGTGCCATTGCACCCATCCTCTCCCCCCCACTGTGCCACTACGCCCATCCTCACCTCCGCACTGTGCCATTGCACCCATCCTCTCCCCCCCACTGTGCCACTACGCCCATCCTCACCTCCGCACTGTGCCATTGCACCCATCCTCTCCCCCCCACTGTGCCACTACGCCCATCCTCACCTCCGCACTGTGCCATTGCACCCATCCTCTCCCCCCCACTGTGCCACTACGCCCATCCTCACCTCCGCACTGTGCCATTGCACCCATCCTCTCCCCCCCACTGTGCCACTACGCCCATCCTCACCTCCGCACTGTGCCATTGCACCCATCCTCTCCCCCCCACTGTGCCACTACGCCCATCCTCACCTCCGCACTGTGCCATTGCACCCATCCTCTCCCCCCCACTGTGCCACTACGCCCATCCTCACCTCCGCACTGTGCCATTGCACCCATCCTCTCCCCCCCACTGTGCCACTACGCCCATCCTCACCTCCGCACTGTGCCATTGCACCCATCCTCTCCCCCCCACTGTGCCACTACGCCCATCCTCACCTCCGCACTGTGCCATTGCACCCATCCTCTCCCCCCCACTGTGCCACTACGCCCATCCTCACCTCCGCACTGTGCCATTGCACCCATCCTCTCCCCCCCACTGTGCCACTACGCCCATCCTCACCTCCGCACTGTGCCATTGCACCCATCCTCTCCCCCCCACTGTGCCACTACGCCCATCCTCACCTCCGCACTGTGCCATTGCACCCATCCTCTCCCCCCCACTGTGCCACTACGCCCATCCTCACCTCCGCACTGTGCCATTGCACCCATCCTCTCCCCCCCACTGTGCCACTACGCCCATCCTCACCTCCGCACTGTGCCATTGCACCCATCCTCTCCCCCCCACTGTGCCACTACGCCCATCCTCACCTCCGCACTGTGCCATTGCACCCATCCTCTCCCCCCCACTGTGCCACTACGCCCATCCTCACCTCCGCACTGTGCCATTGCACCCATCCTCTCCCCCCCACTGTGCCACTACGCCCATCCTCACCTCCGCACTGTGCCATTGCACCCATCCTCTCCCCCCCACTGTGCCACTACGCCCATCCTCACCTCCGCACTGTGCCATTGCACCCATCCTCTCCCCCCCACTGTGCCACTACGCCCATCCTCACCTCCGCACTGTGCCATTGCACCCATCCTCTCCCCCCCACTGTGCCATTGCACCCAATCTCACCTACCCACAGGCTCATGGCAAGGGCCCAAGTGCTGTGAATTATGATGGGAGGTCGCTGAGCTCAGGACACACTTGTCTCACTGTCTCCAGGTACTCGCCACTGGCTGAGCAGTTCTCCCACCAGTTCCCGTCTCATGACCTGCCGTCTGTCCTTGCTAAGTTCTCCTTGCCCGTCTCCTTGTCAGAATTTAGGAACCCCCTGGCCCCCCCTGTGCAAGAGGTGAGTCACAGGAGCTGGGAGCCCAGGAACCACCCGCCCAGCATTGGTTCCTGGTTTCGGGGCCCTCAGCGTGCTGCACCCTGAGCTGTGGTTCAGGGGATGGGAGGGGCCTTGTGTAGGTGGTGCAGGCCCTACCAGGGTAACAGAAAGGTGGCTCCCAGCCAGGCACCTGTAGGTGCTTCACCAGTGACCCAGCACTTAGGCAGTCACAACTCCCTCCCCCTTCCATGCCCCCACGGAGCCCACCCTGGCTGCAGTGGGTTGTTATTAGTGTTAAAACCCCAGTAAGAGGCCCAGTCAGGAGAGAGCTAATCCTTCCTGGGGGGACAGAGCCCCCTGGTGCCCCTTTCTGGGCCTGGGTCCCACAGATGGAAGATGCTGAGGTGGTTTTGTTGTCACTGAGCCTGGGCCCGCCCTCCTTTTCCCTTCCGTCGTGGTCCAGGTGGTCACTGGGTCTAGGCTCACTGGTACCCAGAGTGGCATCCAAGACGACCTGGAGAGGATAGGCCTAGGATAGAACCACCTGGTGAGCTGGGTCCGGGCGAGTGGTGGGTGGGGCCCTAGGAGGTGTGAGGCATGTGGAGTGAACGGGGGAGCTCCATCTATGTCTGGCAGGTTGAGTGTGGCCTGAATCTCCCTTCACTGAACACCTGGGGCTCTGGGCAGGGACCCAGGGCAGGGCCGGATGGAACAGGTGTCAGAGATGGGGCCAGGTGTTCTCAAAAATGAAGTATTTGCTTTAATAAGCAGCAGATCTGTTAGACAAAACCAGTTTTTAGAAGCAGGCCCTTCCCTTTGTGAAGTTGTGAATGAGAAGGCGATCCTGGCTCCTCAGTGCATTTAGATGCCGAGTGAGACAGAGCTCTAAATGCCGTCTTTCATGGAGCCTCTGGGCTCCAGGAGCTGTGCCAGGTCATGGCAGCTGAAAGAAAGACACATCTTGCATCTGCACCCTCCCCCTCTCCAGCAGAGACTTCCTGCTGGTCTGGAAAGTGGGTGGGTTTTTCAGGCCAGGCCTGCGGGGCAGCCTCATGCCTTGTCATGGGGCCCAGATAGAGCTGGGTGTGGGGTAAGGCTGCCTGCCTCTCACCCCTCCAGCTTTAGGCCTGGAATATGCTCTTCAGCGCTTTGGAGCCTCTGTTTTATTTCTTAATTTAATTTCAAATTTAGTTTACAATTCTTTTCAGTTTTATTTGGTTTTACCAGGTCATTCACATCCATGGTACACCCCTATTTCCATGCCTGGTCAGCCAGCCCCTCCCAGGAGGGGACCCCCAAAGATGAGCAAGTGGATGTGTGTCTGAGAACATGGACACCATCTGGGAGCATTTTCTTGCTCACCTGTGCTGGAGCTCTGCCCACACAGGGCTCCTCACGCTCCTACGTAGGTGCTAGCCTGCGGGAGAGGGGTGGATGCCGTGCCCTGGGCACCGTACAGCTCAGCATAGGTCCCTGTCCCTGGGAAGGCTTTTGTGTGGAGCTGAGGAGAGGACTTCCTGCTCTCCGGGCAGCTTCCTACAGCTTCTTTCTGCAATGTCACAGGGAAGGGGTCCCACAGGCCCAGCTCTGTTTGGTGGGGTTTGCGTGGCAGGGCCCAGTGGCCTGGAGGAGACAGGGTAGCAGAGGGGTAGCTCTGAGCTGGGAGGGCACATGGGCCTCCATGTCACAGGCCCTGCTCCTCAGCTCTGGGCAAGAAAGGCCTGACACTAGGGCAGCCCAGGTGTGTGGTGGGAGCAAGTGCAAATATGGCCTCGCTGCTCTCTTAGCCTCGCTGCCTTCCCTGGGGTTAGCTAAGAGCTCCCAGTAGCTAAGAGCTCCTTCCTCAGGGCCCCTGGAGCTTATGTTAGCCTCGCTGCCTTCCCTGGGGTTAGCTAAGAGCTCCTTCCTGTGGGCCCCTGGAGCTTATGCACCCCCTGATCTCCAGGGTGACTTGTGGGGGTCGTGTCTTAGGCCGTGGCTCCCCAATCCGATCAGGAAGGGAACAGGGTGGTGGTGGGGGTCAGCCTCCCCCAGTGCCCCAGGCCTCACACTGCTGTCCCGCAGACCCAGCTCATTCAGATGGTGGTGTGGATGCTGCAGCACAGGCTCCTGGTCCAGCTGCACACCTACGTGTGCCTGATGGCCTCACCCAGCCAGGACGAGCCCCGCCTGCGCGAGGATGAGGTCCCCTTCACTACCAGGGTCAGCGGCCGCAGCCTCAGCACACCCAATGCCCTCAGCTTTGGCTCCCCAAGTAGGAATCCCTTCCCAGGGCATCAATCTGGTGGTGGTCGGGGGCAGGGGGGGTGGTCGAGCACCTGGGGAACACTTGGGAGTGGTGGCCAAGAGGTACATCAAGGGCGCTGCTGCGAATGGCCGAGGGACTTCACGTGGCCACCCATGCACACACTGCCTCATGCGGGCAGCTGGGTCCTCACGCAGCCTTCCTAGAGGAGGGCAGGAGATCTGTCTCCCCACTTTCCTGCACCTCTGGCTCTGAGGAGGCTGTATCTTTGGGCTCTTGAGCAGGGCTTGCTCAAGCCAGGAGTAGCCTGCCCCCGGCCTGCCATGTCACCCATCACTGGGAGGACAATTGAAACCTCTGCCCCAGGGCCTATGAGAGACAGTGGCTGCCATGGTCCCTTCTTGAAAGAGCCGTGTGGCCATAGTGTGCCCCCAAAGGCAGCAGCCATTGCCAAGCCCAAGTCCCTGGGCTTGGGGAAGAAGAGGGGCTGGAAGGCTTTGCGGGAGGTGCCTCCCCAGGCTGAGGCTTGGCCTCCGGCTTCAGGTTCAGGGCGAAGACCTGTCCAGCCCCTCATGCATGTTGGGTGGGAGGGATGTCCTTGGGGGTGGACTGCTCTCTGACCCGTGCCCACCCGTAGCCAGCAGTGACGACATGACGCTCACCAGCCCCAGCATGGACAACTCCAGCGCAGAGCTTCTCCCCAGTGGAGACTCCCCGCTGAACAAGAGGATGACGGAGAACCTGCTGGCCAGCCTGTCCGAGCACGAGCGGGCAGCCATCCTCAGTGTGCCTGCAGCCCAGAACCCCGAGGACCTCCGCATGTTTGCCAGGTGGGAGCAGGGAGACAGGTGGGGCTAGGCCCAAGTCTAGGGTCAGGACAGGAAGTGGATGGGGCTGTACCCAACAACCCGCAACGTAAATCCATTGACGACAAGTAGCACTCACCGGTTGAGGGGAAGTCCCATACACTGGGGTGTCCCTGCCGCTACCTGTGCATGCCAGGCGTGAGTTCAGTCTGCTGCCGAGACACCGTCTGTACCTCTGTCTTCAGGAGTCTCTCCAGGACTTCCTGGGGTTTGTCACTTCCTGGGAAGCAGCAGCAAGTTCTCATCCCCATGGGCTTGGCAGTGATTTTTCCCAGGACTTAGCCTGGGGGTGGGGGATCCAGATCCCCACATCATAGGTGACACAGACTTGGTCACACCCACCCAGTTTGGGGCACTGTAGACGATGGTTTTCTGGAGGAGGTCAGACTGTCAGGGACTGAGCCCCCAGTGAAGAACCACATGCCGGGCAGCTCTTTCAAGCAGCTGGTCCAGGCCTCTGTGCATTCCCAGGCCGAGACACCCCCTAGAGCAGTGACCCCATTTGGATCCAGAGCCACACGGGACTCGCTGCCAAGCAGAGTGAAAAAGAGAAGCCTCCCAGACCTGTCCCCCTGCGCTGCCCCTCCCATGTCAGAATGCTGAGGGTGGTGCGACCCTCGGGCTCAAGTGGGCTCTGGGGTTTGAACAGGAATGTGTTCTCACAGACCCACTTCAGAGAACCATGGTGGGCAGCAGGCCCAGGACACTTGCCTGCTCCTGTTGGGGGTTGGGGGTGGGCATGGGCAGCTGCCTCCTGGGCCTCTGAGACGCCCTCACCAGCTCTGTTTTGGCCTGTGGCCGCTCAGTTGGCTGTTGGAACAGAGGCCAGCCTGGGCTTGTGCCACCCTCCCCTCCAGGCTGCTGCAGTACTTCCGTGGCCGCCACCACCTGGAGGAGATCATGTACAATGAGAACACCAGGCGCTCGCAGCTGCTCATGCTCTTCGACAAGTTCCGCAGCGTGCTGGTGGTGACCACCCACGAGGACCCAGTCATTGCCGTCTTCCAGGCCCTGCTAACGTGAGCCTGGCCGAGGTTGCAGAGGCAGGCAGCTGCAGTGCATGGGGGCACCCGCATCTCCCCACCCTAGGACTCCCTCCCAACCTGGCCTGAGTCCTTTTAGCCCTGAGACCCGACTTCACCTGCGTCAGCTGCCTCCTAGGGCTGCTACCCTCTGCATCCTCACTTATCTAGTCCCCAAAACAGGTCAGTGCCTGAGCTGAGAAGGTGAGGCTCTGAGCTGGGGAGCCGTCCAGGACTCGTGCTCTGAGTGAGGCCTGCATGCTTCCCACACAGATTTGGGCCACATGTTTCTCTGACCTCCCTCCCAATCCTTCCCATGTTCCCCGGCCCCTTCCACTGCTGCCCTTCCAAGACGGAGGGCCCAGTGTCTGGCCTATCCTGTGTGGCCCTGCACTGCCCCTTCTTCTCAGCTTGCTGTGGGCCTTCCTGGCCCGGCCCTCGCCACAGCCACCAGGAGGCTCATGCCTTAGCCATCCACTCCCCTTTGCCACCTGAGGCCTGAGGGCCTGGGCTCGTCCATGATGCTTACTTGGCTCCCCGTTGGGGTGTCTGCGCTGGCGTTCCCAGTCCTCCCTCACAAGGGTGGGGTGCAGTGGGCCTCCATCGGGCCTGAGGAAGGCAGTGCCCATGCTGGACCTGGCTCGAGGTGCCCGCTGCACACGTAGCCCCTGACAGCCACATCCTGGAGGAGGAACTGATCATTGAGGGGGCTCTGGCTGAGACACAAGTGACACGTTTTGTAGAAATAAAGCATTTATTTGGTTTTTAAACAATTAAAAAGCCTGTCCTTAGCAGGCCCTTGCTTAGACCTGTGTGTCCTGCTCAGCTCCTCTGTCCACCACACTGACCCAGGGGCTGCCCTGGACATAGAAGCGCAGGGGCTTCTGGGCCCACTCTCCTGCGTTGCCGATGCCCACTCGGGCTGCTGCCACCACCGCTGGCTCCCTGGGCCCCGGGGGGCTGTGCTCTAGCCACACAGCCTTGTCCGTGGTGAGGTCTCGTTGGTCAAAGCTCTTGTCGATGGCCAGGGCCTGACAGAGCTTGGAGGGGCCACTGCAGAGCTCACGGTCTTTGAGGGCCCGGCCGGTACTGCCTTTCCGGGAGGTACTGCGAAGCTGCCGCATGGTCTCCAGGCCCCCCAGGGGCTCCAGTGCTCGCAGCAAGACACATGCTCCATCCCCTGTGGGACAGACAGACAGTGACTGGCCCTCCCTACCCAGGGCACAGCCAGTGCTGCAAGGATGATGCAGCTGCCTTCCTGAGCACCCCTGTACTCATTCACAGTCCAGACCCACTTCCTACACACCTGCACCCACAAGGCCCCAGGTGGGGCCTCCATGAAGCCAGAGGGCCTGACCAGCTAGGGAGAACCAGTGAAAAGGCACGGCAAGTGCTTGCAGCTGGCCTCCTCTTGTTTGGCGACCAGCAGCAGCTTTGGGGTTGGCAAAGGAAACCCCAAATGGCCGGTCCTCCCTGGGCATGGTCATCTCTACCCAGGCCCAGGGTTCCCCCATCTGCCTCTACCCACTCAGTGTCTATTGGCCAAGCCAGAAGGTTGGCTCTGAGCAGCTAGCAGTGTGCATAGGATGCTGGGTGAGCCTCACCCCATGACTCAGTGGGGAGACAGACAGTGCAGAAGGAGGTGCCTGCTGATAGCACCCCTCCTTTGGGATCTTTCTGGCCCCTCAGTCCAGGCTACTTCAGCAAATTGACACCCTGGGCCCAAGAAGACATTTGTCCAAATTCCCTTGGCCCTGCCTGGCTAGGGGCAGTGATACCTGGACCCTGGCCAGAGAAGCGTAATCCCAACAAGGCTACTCTCCTGAGACACCAGCTCTGCTGACTCACGTTGGCCTGCCCTTCTACCGGGGGGTCTGAGAAGCTCAGCCCGAGGGCTGGCCAGGCCAGTCCCCACTCTTGGGCCTCACGGTACAGGCCTCATCAGCGCTGGGAGAACCCTGAGTGGATGCAGCAGCTACACTCCCTGCACAGCCTGCAGCTGGCAGGTGGGGTTTTGGGACCAGATGCTTTAACCAGCCAGTTTTCAAAGAACCTCAAGATAGACTAAGGGCAGCCTGGCCGGCATGGCTCAGTGGTTGAGCATTGACCAATGAACCAGGTCACAGTTTGATTCCTGGTCAGGGCACATGCCTGGGTTGTGGGCTTGATCCCCAGTGTGGGGCGTGCAGGAAGCAGCTGATCCATGATTCTCTCTCATCATTGATGTTTCTATCTCTCCTTCCATCCTCTCTGAAATCAATAAAAATATATTTTAAAAATTAAAAAAGAAAAAGGTATACTAAGGGCAGACCTAGCCGTTTTGGCTCAGTGGATAGAGCATTGGCCTGCAGACTGAAGGGTCCTGGGTACGATTCTAGTCAAGGGCTCGTACCTAGTTGCAGGCTTGATCCCTGGCCCTGGTTGGGGCTCATGCGGGAGTCAACCAATTAATGTCTCTCTCTCACATCGATGTTTCTCTTTCTCTGTCCTCCTCCCTTCCACACTCTCTAAAAATCAATGGAAAATTTGATCCTTGGGTGAGGATGAACAAAAAAGAAAAAGATACACTAAGGGCAAGCAAAGACTTGAAGTTCCAGTCCCTCTAATTGCTAGGCCCTGCCCAGCCCACCAGCCTCAGGGCTTCCTCTGTCCATGCCGAGCTGCTGTAGGTGTAGCACGTCCCTCACTATCTCGCCTCCCAAATGGGCTGCAGGAGCAGCCTACCCCCTCGATCCCATGCCCGCTCTCCTGGAACGCACCTGAATCCTGCACCCTGACATAGAACCAGAACACCTTAACTTCTTCCCACAGAGTCTCCAGTCTCAGCTCTACTCCACCTGCACCACCCGTTGGCCTTGGCACTCCCCCCCCCCCCCCCCCCCCCCCCCGGC